CTTGAATGGACGTCACACGTATCAGTCCACGCAAATCTATAAGGCCTCCCTTTTCTATACTAAACATCTTCATTTAATGAAGGCCGTTGTCCTTTTTACATTCCCTGGCCCAGGAGGGATGGAATGGGGTGCAGTGGCTTAGCCTTAGTGCCTCCTTTTTCTAGCCAATATAAACATCTTCAGTTAATTAATAGGCTTTATTCCATTATACAGTGTTATAGCGTAGCATCGGTAGGTCATATAGTCCTGCTTTGGGGTTTTGAAAAAGATTGGCTTTGTAATGCTTTATATGAAAATTGTATAGGAGTAGAAGCAATGGTTGATCGAAGGGAAAACAAATCATTAGCGACGAATTATACGAATTATAGGAATTTATAAATAGTAAAAAGAACATAGCGAATTACTGACTATAATGTTTACATAATAGTCCCCGGCAATTCTGTGCATTAATCAAACACCCGAACCGGGCTTGGGTTTGGGAGTTTGATTAATGTACAGAATTGCCGGGGAGTAATTGTAGCCTGAGCAGGTGTCGTTAACGCACAATATTATAACATATGCTATGTACAAGAAGAATTGCAATTTTACTACCATAATGTAAGCATGCATTATGTTTTACGTGTAATTTTACTTTGTCACTTATGTATACTTTGTAACAGAAACTGCAATTCGGCTCTCGGGCCGCGAATGTTTTTTAATGAAATAAACCATTTAAAATAAATAAATAGGCCTGAATAAATAATCTTATACGAACCGAACAGTAATAATATCAGATTAACTTAGAGACGTAATACTAAAGCCTGTAGGGTTCAGAAAAAACAAACGAAAAGTGAGTTGCAAAATCATATGGAAAATGTTATAAGGAACGATTAACACGACAAATGAATTACATTGTACTCCATCTAAGATAAAGTTTAGAAGAGAGAAGGATTACTAGAACGAAGACAGATATAAGGAGGTGGGAAATGAGAAAAAGAGATGGGTAGAGAGATAGGAAAGAGCCCGGGGGGGGGGGGGCGGGGAACTCAAAAATGGTTTAGACGGGGGTGTGCCGCTCAAGACTCGAAATCCCTACCCATTTTAAAGGGTCATTTTTTTTAAAAGTAAGGTCCATTTTTTCACATTTCCAGGGTATTTGATAATAATGCAAACACCTGAAATTTTGGAATAAAAAAAAACTGACTCATTTTAAATGCTATTTTTGTTCAAAATGGGACCCATGTTTAGGAAATTTTTTGTGCAAAAGCTCCATTAGAGCGGCATAGCCCCGTATGTCTTAAAGATAAAGGTGAGTTCTGGTTATCTGATTGCATTAATTGTGAAAGAAAAGGTGTGGAATGGATCAGAAAAAGTTGATCATGTAGCATGTAAGTATTGGAGTGTACTGCAAGGTTCTGGAGTCATCGAAATCATAATAAATTTGACCCAGTCTTGGTAAAGGAACAAGCACTGTACACAGAAAGATGTATATGGGACTACACAAATTGTGTCGGCTTACCTATACCTTGATTCCCTTATTTTTCTATGCTCATTACTCAGCCAGTATACATTTTCTACCAAAATTGTTTGGCAAATGACATTTATTTGTAATCTTGAACATTCAGTGTAAGTTTCGTTTGATTCTGAGAGAATTCATTTTCTTTTTTTTAACAGAACTCAACTGTATCTTTAATATGTGAGTACTGTATATTCTTATTGTCAAGTCTAGCTTTTATTTTAAAGATAATAGGCGTACCAACTGAAACAGAATGATGATATAACTACAAAACTGTCAGAATTTCCATCGCTATAGCTCCTATGTGTTAAAAAACAAAGGAAATGGAAAAGGGTGATTTTTGGTTCTGTTTAAATGTCGATTGTGTTGATGAGTATAGTTTGTAAATTATTTTTAAAAAAGAATGTTCAAAAATATAAAAAGGTGACAAGGGGGCACCCGGATTTGAACCGGGGACCTCTCGATCTGCAGTCGAATGCTCTACCACTGAGCTATACCCCCTTCGCTGAAAGAGCGGGAAGACTTAATGTATTTATATTTCATTGCATGAAACATAATCCAGCAGTAAGTACATAATTTGCATGTTGTTTTTCATTATATTTTGGTACAAATAATTCATGAAAGATTAAAATATACATAAGCCTTCGATTTAAATTATATGAAATATTTTTATTATACAAACATATTCCATAAAAGTCTTTTTCAATCGTATATTCTGAAAACGACTGGTAGGGTCTAAACTATTATGGACATGTATCGCGAATCGCATCTCGTTTCCCTTGCTCAAGCTTGTTGTTTACTTTTTTAGCAATAAATTGTCAAAGATGGTTGATGTCAGAGATATTTTAGAGTGGGATATCGATTCTGAAAGACTCCCTACAACTTCTCACGGTGAATCTGGTCAAAATGTGAGAAAAACAGGAATAATTGGAGAGCAGAAAAAACAGGTACGTACAGCTACAGCCGCCTATGTACATACGTTAACCCCATGCATAGATAGACATGTCACGGCTCACGCCCGTGTGGTTCGACCAGGCCTTGTCCATGGCTGCGTACACGGACGGGGCCGCGGCCGTGAGGATGGCCTAGTGCAGCATGCAGTGGCACCCTGTCTCTTTATAGTCTCATAGTCATACTGAGATGAGAGCCAGCAAGATACTGCATGACTTGTATTTCTAGCTCCTTGGGCAGTTGAGGCTAGACAGAAATAACCGTCTAGACAGAAATAACCGTCTAGACAGAAATAACTGTCTGGTAAAATGACATTTGCCAACCTTCCCCATGACGTGTTGATGTATTGTAGGGCACTAGGGTAGGGGCGCTGGTCTGAAAATAAGGATCGTCGGCTTAATTGCAGAATACCCTACCATATTTTTAGTCTTCGTATATTAGCCGTAGATATAGATTGTGATTTTATTGTTTGCGATAACGGTGATAAAGGTATTGAAGATTGTATAAGGCAAGTGTTTATATTCATTTGGTGGACGAAAATGTGAATTTTACGCTGTTTTGTGCGTTATTGCAGTGCTGAATTTGGTGTGTTCATTGCTAATTTGTGACCAATTTAGATGGCTTTCCTGATGATATTTCATGCAAAATTTCTGTTATATTGATAAGCACTGATTAATGTCCTTACCTTTGACTTGTTTCTTGTCTGTAAATTAATAGATGAACTAGATCTACTTGAATTCTGAGCACTATTTCACTAACGCAACGTCCAGCCCGTGTATAGTCCCACACACGTATTTTGTATGTACCGATACCTTTTGCACGCTATATTATAAGCTGTTGACACCACTTAGTCTGCTGTCAAAGACCCTAATAGATATTTTAATCGACAAGTGATGTCTTTTTCTAAAAATACCAAAGAAAAAGATAGTTACATGTATGTGCTTTTTTAATCAAAAAGTGATGTCTCATTCTAAAAATACAAAAGAAAAAGGAGTTTTGTACTTAGAGTAGACTAGACTAGCATTAGTTCATCGTCGTTGGCTTCTTTTTTAATATTTGTCAGTATCTTCGTCGAATGCTTTTTTAAACAAATATGCCTTATTAGAATATTTGGTTGATGGTCGTTGGACTCTCTTTCATTCAATAGTACTTGGTCGATGGTCGTTGGTAGAGTATTCTGCAATTGTTCCATATCTTATTCGTAAACGCGGACTGATGTGTCCTCAAAAATAAGGATCGTCTGCATTGTTGCCAATGCGAAAAACGCATTCCGCAATGATTTTCATGATGCATTTTACATTGACTCTCTACATAGACTTTCCCATTAATATGAGCGATAATTCCTTCCAGTCCACTCCCTATTCCATATGATGTACTTCAGTGTTTGTATAGAGGTGGTCAGTGGAGCCAGATGTAGTCTCAGCGGAACAATCGTTGATATCAGAGACTGAAGCTTTCGGTCTAGGACAATTGGTGTATGAGCACAAATACACATAGAAAAAAAAAAGAATGATCAAACCCTGGCAGTTTCTTTTGGATTTTTCAGTACCGGGTAGTTTAAATGGCAATTAAAAAAAAAAAGATGTTTTTTGGGCTGTGTAAATAATGGCCATGCACCTGTAGGCCCTCTGCTGATAACTTTGTAAAATCTGTGTTTGTACATGTACATGTAGCTACATGTACAAGGAGTTTTTCCAGATACATGTATGGCATGGTATGTATGGGACTATGGGTCAGTTTTACCCTCTAGGTTCACAAAACATAACAACATTATTTGTAAAAATATTTCATTGCACTCAGATCAGAATGTACCAAAATCCACTTGAAAGTTGAAACATCAGTCAGTGTCAGTTGCACTTTCTTGCTTTTATTTTTGAAGTTTAAGAGAGGAAGCCTACTGGAATTGAGAACTTCACTAACTTTGCTTTCAATTATTGTATGCTGAAGTAGAGCACTAACTAAGGACATCAACTTGTACCATTTGTATCTTTTCATTTATATTTGTTTTTGTAATGGCTGTATTCATTATGAGGTTACATTTATGACCACATGCATATAATAATAATAATAATAATGATAACGTTTTATTTACCCAGGGTAGCCACTTCAGTTATGAAACTGCTCTTCCAGCGGGCCCTGCATAACATAATATGTTAGTACTACCCTTCTCCAATCTACATGTAATATGCTGAGCGCCTAGCTAGAAAGGTCCCATTGTTATAAGCCTTAGGTATGACACGGCCGTGGTTTGAACCCACGACCTCCTGTTCATGAGGCGGACGCTCTAACCACTGAGCCACCATGCCCGGTTGTTGAATCAATCTCCTACATAACTCTCACGTTCTAACACATAACTCTCGCATTCTAACACATGACCATTTTATTCTTGTTTTCTATCAGAAACTGAAGAAAAATAATGAAGCAGTATTCAAGCGACCTGAGGGAATGCACAGAGAAGTGTATGCATTACTTTATTCTGATAACAAGTAAGTTTGAAACAATGAATGTTATATTTCTTTTTGCAGAGGTGCATACAGTAGTGCAATTGATATTAAAGGACCACTATTACGGAAATACTAGTATATTTGAACTATATGACTTTTTTGCTGTGAATCCAGATTTTTCAAGCTAATTATCTGAATTAAATTCGTTAATCTTTAAACTTGAAAAGAAAAAAATAATTGGGAACGCCCCTAAAAATTTGGATAATCGGTCAATCGATCGATTACGTCATGTGACGTCATAAACAGAATGCCGGCTTTCCAGAAAGCTGAAAGTGTGTGTGTTGACGGTAGAACTTCGTGTACTTCCATCAGAGCGAGTCAGAATTCAAACCAGTAGTAGTAGCTTCTAGACCTTCATTTTAGTATTATTATATATCCCAATTCAACAATTATGTCTTCTTCGTCGGACAACGAAGACGGCACATCGGGATCCGATTTCAGCGATATTTCTGATTTGGAAAATGATTTGGAAAATCGAGAAGAAGTAGAGGAGAATATAGGTGCGCAGCCATATATGTTTGAGCCGGAAATTTCCGATTCAGAGGAAGAATCAGACGAGGGTGATGACGCTCCTGATTTTAACATCGACGAAGATATCGACGGGAGGCTTGGCAATAACGATTGGTAATTTCTTTGAAAACTTATTTACTCATTTTAATTCACGTATAATCTTGTCTGTTCTTGCAAAACAGAAAAACAGTGGCCTGCCCGAGTCCTGAGCCGAGCTGCCTTAGCGCTAAGGCAGCTCGGCTCAGCAGCGATCAACCGCTCAAGCCTGGCGCCTAGTCACAGGCTGTCGACGCGGGCAGGTTAGGCTGTGTATACCGTGCCGTACGGTCGTTCGCCTGCTGCCCCTGCCTGGGGCTTGGGCAGGATTTTGCTGGTGCATGTGGTAGCGTTAACAACATTGGCAGTGATATCCGGAAAAGTCTACCTTTTCTGTTATCTTGCTACTATCTTGCTATAAATAATAGGTAGACTACTTTATGTAAGAGTAGGGTATCCTGAAGTACAGTAGTTGATCGTTACAACTGAAAGTTGGATCAATATCAACTGAGCTGTGTAGAGTAGACCCTATTAGTAGTAGGGGTCTACTAAATATTTGGAGAAAAAAAATATCGCAGTTGTGCAAATAGCCAAATACACTTCAAAGCCATGTTTTTCCCTCTCTGACTTGTGCTTTTTTTCTCTTCATATTTCTAGTCTAGATAAGACCGGGTAATTTGTACAGTTGGAAGCATTTCTTCACCTTTTTTTTCTTTCTTTTTTGTAAATTGTAGTTTACATGTAACTTTATAGAATTAGAGTAGGTCTAGTCTAGACTATTTTGTGAAACCGAGATATGGCTAGATTGCCAAAAAATCTGTGCAGCGCCCTTTTCTGTACACACACGTCAATGCACGATTCTGATAAAACAAGCATCCTCATACCAGTGGGTCTGGCTATATAGTCCAGTGACATATTTTACTTTTTTTTTTTTTTAATTGCTCTGCCCAAAATATTATGTATTTCCTAATAATATTCATGATACTGTCATTACTGAGTGATAATGATTTATTTCAATTTCCAGGTGTTCATGCAGTGGAGGTTGCATCCCAATGCCAGTGGTGAGGGAGTGTGTCTGCTGTAAGCAGATTCACCAGATCGTGCGGAAAATGGACGCATATCCCCATGGTGAGCTGAACTGCATCACAGAACACCCAGGCTTCCAAACGGTGTGCCTGGACGTATGGGTGATGGAAACGGCATACCTACATTATCGCCAGCAGTATGGGGGACAGGCGAGACAAGATGCCACAGAAAATCAGTGAGTTACAATTTTATTTATTTTTCAATCCAAAAAAAGTCTCTCTATTATGTGAAGTAAATTGAATGCCAAATGTCAAGTTGGCTCTAGGTTTTCTTGAAATCAACACAACGATATTATGTAACCTGAAGAAAAAAAGGCAAAACTAATTATAATGTATAGAGGATTCGCAGTGTGCATGTATTTTCTTGTCCTATGTGCAAATTTATATTTGTTCTCCATGCATTGTTTTTTAGTTGTCTAATCATGGTTTCCTTTGTATCCCCTTTAAATTCTTTTTTCTTTTATAGGAAATACAGGCATGTAGCATATAGGCAGCTCGTTAGATGGTGCTGGGGGTTCTTAGGCAGAGCAGTACGTGTTCCTCTTCCATCATGTGCCGTGACAAGAATTCGTGCTGCGTTTCCATCAGAAGAATACAGGGGTTTTGAAGAGGCGTAGACTTATTTGTATAATTTTGCTGTACGATATTTTGTTGTTTCCTTTTTCAGCTTGTCACCATTTATGAGGGAAGATAATATTTTACAGGAAAATGTTTTACTTTCACCTTACTACTGATATTTTTATGACCGTTCTATGACATATTATCATCAATATAATGTTTTTTTAGTTACTGGTATAGGAACTCTATAATATATATTAGCTCAGGCATTTTTTGAAATGCCCCTTAGGGCATATGTTCTTCTGTTTTTGTTTTGTTGTTGTATCATTTAATTTGTTTTTAATTGGGCTTGGATATAACTCATGCACAAATGTCAGCATTATGCAAAGGGGAAAGTACAATTAAATATTTTAAATATGTATGTATCAGAATCGTTTTTCGATGAGTGTAAGCAATTTCCCAAGACAGTTTTATTATTTGACGAAAACAATTATACCGAGTGCTAGTGACTGACACATATGATCTATTATTTGCTCTGCTCATTCATGTGATCATCATTATTGTTGCTTCACAACATTTGTTTCTTCTTCTTACGGTCACTTTTTTTACAGATTGTTCAACTTCTAGATTTGATCGATTGTTGTATTTATTTGTATGTACCATTACTTATATATTGTTCTAGATCTTAACTTGATAACTCTTAAATCGTTTATAAATGATGTGGAAAATCTTAATTTTCATATTTAATTCCTATACCTGGATATCAGTTGCACATGGGGGTGTGCTACATTGTGACTACTAGTATGGTATGAATTATATTTGTATTTTTCGCCCAACTATGTGAGGGATGGATTATTTTCACAGACATGCAAAAACAATTCAGCTGCTTCTAGTCGGAGTTTCATTATTTATAAGTATTTGACTTGAGCATTTTGATGTATTTGATATTGTATTGTTAAGTTAAAGATGCATACATGGATCTCAGTTCTGAACGATAACTTTATCGGCAAACAAGGTCTGCCATTAAAAAAAAGTGTTATGGCATTTTTTTGCTTTGAAACTTATCTGTTTGGTGCTCTTTTTTCTTTGTTTAAATTCTAAGACCATTATTTCCTGGCTACTACATCTGTAGCCACATTTCTCCAGAAGTAATATAATAGATTTCAAAACAATTTATAATTTCTGGAAGAGATCATAAGGGTTTACTATGCATAGTGCAAGGCTTGTCATGACTGAAGGTAAACAGTTGGGGAAAAAAGGAATGTGTGATTGGGTGAGTGATCTCAAAACCAACAATTGGCATAACGGAAGGAAAAGGGAGAGAAGATGTGTATAATTTGAGATTTTGGGGAGAAAGGGAAAAAGAAAGCATGAGAGAAGAAAATGGTGAAAGAGAGAGAATCATTAGAAAATAAAAATTCAGAAAGGGGGAATCAACCTGTGGCTCTGTAAATAGTGATGTATACCCTCCCCTTCGTTTTAGGGGACGGGGGGGGGGGGGGGGGGGGGGGGGGGTGAGAGTTGTTACATTTTTCATATATTCAAAATAAAATGCAGTGGAAACTCATTAAAAAGATCTCTGATATATACAAGGTCTATGTTTTGTTTTAATACCCTGATACAAGGAGATTTCTGATAAAAACAAGGTAATTTTCGTGGTCCCAATGCCCTCGTTATAGCAAGTTTCCACTGTATCATATTCCATGATAAACATTTTTAAGACAACCTCTATTAGGGAAGTGATCTTTGTCTTCATCAAGAATGAAAAAAAAAAAGTTCAGTCAAGACCAAATGCGAAAGCTGCTTGTGAGGTAGAGACTAGAGTCGCCAAATTTCATGATTGAAATAAATAATAACTTTATCATCCTTCACACTCAATTTCTCTCAAAATTTTACTAACCCTGATTCTTTTTTTTTATCAAATTGAAATTAATACTGTGATAGATGGGTGAATGAAATAAATTTTGAAATGCCCTTCAAAACTAGGTTCGCTATGTTATGACACTTATGAACAGATCACCATAAGACAATATCAATTCCTTTCTTTCTTTTATTTAACAATTCTTCAACATGATGTATATACTCTGCATAAATATCTTCATTAATTGCGAAACGGTATTATGCACCTGAGGAAATACTTCTGCAAATGCAGGCAAGAACTGCACGCAAAAAAAAAGTTACTAGAACTAGAGCAAGTCCTGAAAAAGCTGAACAGCAGCTCCGATATCTAATAGACATGAATAAAGAATACATGAGAAATGCATCTAATCATAGGCAAACTCAAGTAAGTCCTGAATTAGCTCCATAAAGATATAGAAGAGCCCAGTTTATTTTCTACACCATGATAAACTTATGCCTTACTTACTTAGAAAATGACTACAGGAAATTGTTGTATCAACAACGCAAACAGCTGCATTATAGTTCAAGGTAAGGGACACAACAATGACAACATAATCAGTTTATTTGACCTATGGTGATACATAAAAAGATGTGGAATTCTGAAACAAATCTGACATGAATAATGTCAGATTTCACTCTGTAACATTGCATTATAGCTCAAGACAAATACCATACCCATCCTAGTTTCTACCAATCAATCAACCTAAAAACATACCGTAAGCTCACTGTACCAGCTTTGGTAGAAAAGGATGCTGCTATCCAAATAGGCATAAGAGCAGTCTCTATTTGTATTGCCACATTAAATATCAAGCTATAGAAGGTGTAACAATGGAACCTTGAAATGTATATAACAATCACTGTTTCCATATAGGCAAGCACTTGTATTAGTGAGAAATACCAATAGTCCTTACCATTATTCAAATTAGTTACAAATCACTACAAATCTATGAAACAATTTCAAACAACCCATGGTAAATTTTGGTTGTCTAAGAGACAAATTTGTTACTCTGTTACACAAATAAGAAACTGTCTTCTCAGTAAATTGTCTTACAAGATCCAAAAAGGCATCCTAATTTGATGCAAGATAACTGTTTGAACATTAACATTTGGTTTTACAAATTATGCTCTGAGTCTGTCAAAGTTAAAAAGTTTCTTCTGATACCATATCAGCATTACCAAAGAATGGATTTTCACATAACAACTTTTCTGGTAACAACCAAAGTGATATCATTATGATGTACATACTGCAATTTGTTTGGATGGTGCCTGTCACACTGAACCTTGAACTTCAGTTATTTCTAATATTCTCCATTCCCGGCACTGTAGAAACATAGCAGATTAACTATCTAAGTTGAAACGACTGCGATGTTGCTGGATGAGCTGGTCTTTAGAAGGGTACAAGAATTGACTGGTAAGTGTCGGTGGGGCAGCCTTCCTCTTCCTCTTCCTCTTGGGTTTAGGTACGTAGGTCTTGCTGCGTTTAGCCACGTCATCCATCAGGTCAGCAACGTAAGCTGTAATTTCAAGACACAGAAGCCACATTTCTACTTTAGAGAACTTCTTCTGTTGTGCCCTAATTTTCAAAGGTTATTGATACATTCAAATTTGTGTAACAGAATACATCAGATACTTTATTCAATTTTTCATCCTGGGATGAACATAAATCTTGTTTTAATTTTCTAAGGTACAAGCAGGGGTGATATTGAGCACTGAAAATAATTGGAAAATAATAAAAAATAAGTAGAGAAGAATAGAAAAAATAAGGGAAAGATTGGGATAAAATCAGGGGAAAAAAAATAAATAGGAAACCAATTAATATCAGGTTTTAATCAGGCCTGTACAATGCACCAAACCTGAATCACATATAAAATTAAATTTACATCTCTTTCATATATGTATGTATGTAGATTGAAGAAATAAGAGGTATAATTATAAACACACCAAAAATTACCTCCTTTTAAAAAAAAAGTGGTTCTGCATTCCTTAAAAACCAATTCCAAAAGTTTCTACTTACAGTACTGGGCATCTTCTTTGACTTCCTTGATTGTCGCAATTCCATCCTTGTACTTAAGCTTGCTGACCTTGTAGCGCTTAGCCCCAGTGCTAGTGGTTGCTTGCTCTCTATTGCTGTTTTCATTGTAGTGGAGTCCTGCAAGGTGAATCCTAAATTAAACACAAAACAATATATTCATATGAGTCAACGCCATCACCAAAATGAACCTTCTTTCAACATATCGAGCATGATGACAAGTTTCTATGTTTAAGGATACAATCACATGTAAATAGAATGACAAAAATTATACAGAATTGAATGATGAGATGACAGAGGAACAAATTCTTATTTATGTCAAAATTCTAATTCAGGAGGCAAGTAACTCTATTTCCACACACAAGTATCTTTACTAATGCCTGACATATATCTCTAGATTTACCTGCTGGTTATGCCGAAGTAGCTGTAAGCCTTCATCTTTGGAGCAAACTGGTTCACAATGCTGTGAAAGCATTCCAACGAGGAGGTTTGCTTGCCACTTGACAATTTCCTGATATCCTTGACTAGTGCTGTGCCGTTGATGATGCTGCTCAATTTCTCAGATGCCAATGTGCCTATAAATATATAATATAAACATAAGAACAATACCAATATTTATACTGTGGTAACAAACAAAAAATGGTTTATATTGTTCTTCTTCATAAATTACAGAAATTCTAATTTGACTGGATAGTTGCTTGCTGCTAAGTTCAAAGTAATGGGAAGAAAGGAGTTTTTTCAACAATTCAGTAAATTGAAGCAAGCAATATGCTTATTCCAACTAAGATTTCTTTATGGACATGACATTGACAGTTTAGTAATAAATGAGTCTACTCAAAGGCAATACACTTTCTCTTGATATGCATTATGCACAAGAAGCAGCATATTAATTCATTATAAAAATACCCCGTACTTACTAGGCTTTAGATATTTCTTGCGACGTTTCTTTCCTAAGTCCCCATGTAGGCATCTCGGAAATAATTCAGAGTGACCACTATGTTTCCCTTGAAGGTGATTCTCCAAAGACTTCCACTTAGCCACTCTCATTTCCTGTTCATCGTCCTTAGTACTTGAAGCTACCCAGTAAACATGATTGTTTATGCTCTGCTCCCATTGTCCTACAACCTCACATTCTTTTACTTTGGCCAGTGAATGCACCTTCTTTCTGACAGCTATAGCAAAAAGAATAGAAACAAAAAAAATGGCAAACATAAAAAATTCCATCGTGAATACCAAAACGCCTGTCTGAAGAGTTAAGTTCCTGACAATATAAAATGCAGTGCTTTGGATACAAGGGTATATCTTCTCATCAAAACAATGTCCAAGGATGCTTTATGTGTCCTCTGACCAAGCCTGTGTGCCTTATTAACACATAACAAATTGTGTACACATTCAAGTAAGCAAGTCGGTCATGAGATATCAAAATGATATTAAGTTTTCATTCATATGCTCGTTGAAAACCATGATATATATCTCAAAACAACATTGCATGATCATCCGGGTACCTTTTAACAACCATGAGATGAACTAGTTTTTCTTGACAGCTCAAAACTATTCCTACAAATAATACCATAACATCTTTCAACTATTTTCCTACAATGCAGTACCCACCTTTGGCTACATGCCACACATCAAACAAATGTATGACATTAGGGGTCGTTTCCCTGATGTGTTTAGCCAGCTGTCTGTGTCGGTCTGTAACAAGTTTGTGGATTGTTAGACCTTTACTTTCAATGGTCCGGAATGTTCTCTTTAAGCCCTCCAGCTCCATGTGGTAGCTACTTTTAACTTCATTGCTCTGTAATAACAACAAAGATAAAATGAGATAAGTGACAAGAGATACATCAATGCATATCAAATATTCATTCAGATGAACAATTTCAGTATGTATCACATACACCTCATGTCAGTGGGAGTTTAACAGTCAAGTTCAGGGGAACATTTAACTAGAAAGGAACTATGAAGTTATTAATGAAGACTATCAATTAACATGTCAAAGACTTTTTTTTTGTAAATGCCTCATCTTCCAAAACACACAGCAAAGGTAAAAAAAGGTAGTTTTTTTGGTTAAAGGGATCCGGTAACTTTGTCTTAGATCCTTTAGAAATAATCCTTGATTTAGCTCATGCTGCAATGATAATTATAAACCTTTAGGTCAGTCATGAACTCCATGACTTTTACAAGCCGATCGTCTGTCTAATTATCAAGATATTAATGATGAACGGTTTTCATAACACTACAGTCTATTGGGGAAAACGAGTATGGTTAAACCAGTCACTCAAAGATTTTTAGGCACTTCTTGATCATTTTGAAGTGCAATTTTTTAAGGGCTTCAATATTACACCATATCACAGACACTGGTAACGTGTAGGACCGTGTATCTCAGATTTAACATTGTTAAACGATCCCTTAAGTCATATTTGGAAGTGACCATTAGAACACTAATAATCCTATTTACCTGTACCAACTGGATATCAATGATCTTGTTGACTTCGAGTTCAATAGCTGTGTACATGCCATACTTCGCTGTATGGCCTGGGCTGTCTGCTCGTCCATCACCGCCAATTGTCAAGGGTGTTCCTGAAGCAACGAGCTGGGTATGCAGAGCATCTTGATGTATCTTCCACTGGTTTTCTATAGCTGGCTGCAGGAGATCAGTCTGAAACCTATAAAAGGTTGGCTCAGAGAAGCAGGCTATGTTCATGTTGTCCATTATCTTAAGCAATTTAGTGCAACTTCCTCCCGCAAACAGTGTGGCTCCTGCCAGGAGAATGTTCCCAGCTGGGGTGCAACCATACCACGGCTGACTAGCCCAAGAGCATTTCTTAGCTGAACAACTCCAGCATTCTGTGTTGATGGTGACCAGGGTTCCTTTTGTCCACTTTTGGATGCCTACATTCCCAGATCCACATGACGGACATTTTTGGAAAAGTTCCATCAATTGTGTCTCAAACACGATATATTTGTTTTCCAAGTGGGGCAAAACATTTGATCTTGGTTGCCAAGATGTTGATGGGCGCTGACCTCTCGTCCTGTAAGGAGTTTTAAAAACAGGATATTACATGATACATTAGTTTGTGAGGAAAAAAAAAAGACAGTCAATGGATAAGAGTCAAACTTCATTACTGACATAATAAATCATTCTTTGACGTAAGTACATAGTTATTAATAGTGTAACATAACATTGCTTTTTTTTTTTTTAAAGACAGAAAGCAAGCTCACTTTTTGCGTTTTTTCAAAGGCTTCTGAGGTGTGCTCTGCTCTTTAGACGATGATGATGATTTGTCAGGTGAATAACCAGGCGAGGATTCTTGTTTTTTACGTGGTGCATCACTGCCGGAATTGCTGTTTTCATCGCTACTGCTCTCCTTTGCCTCCTTCTCTTTCACTGCTGCCGTCTCCTTCTCCTTTGTCCCCTTCATCTCCTCCTCGATGATTACGCATTGCGTCCCGGTCGAAGCTAACTCTGGTGGTAGCTTCATGGAACCAGTCTCCCTTGTGAGGACAGATGTCTGGCTACCTATATTTGATAATAACATAATATGTAGAAGTATATATAAAACTTACAGATTTAACTGTCTCAATTGATCTATGTAGGATAACATTCCACGTTCCATGTTAAAATATGTAGACTTGCAAAAGAATTTTTAAAGCTAGGCTTTACTACTTTAGCTAGAAGGGATTAGACCATCGAGGTCACTGTGACAGGTGGCTATCTCATTAACTTGGCTCTCATTTAACATAAGAAAAAGAGGATCATGGGGGACCAACAGGCACCGATTGGGATGTTTTCTATATAGAGGGAGCAAGTAGCTACAAGTAGGACAGTGTGCCTTTAAATATAACCTTATAGACGAGTGCTGTTATCGACAAGCCATTTGTCAACAATCTTTTCGACACAAGCCCAGTTTGGTAAGAAGATGACATGTCAACTGATATATGCAACAGTTCTGAATTCAAAATCCAATAGAACAAAATTAACATCTGTGGAAATCAATCCAAAAGGAATATTTTGTTTTTTTACATTTGTGTTAAACATTCCTTTAAATAAAATAATGTTATCTAAAAAAATCTATAGTACATATTATAGAGTAAAACAAATTGCCTTGAATGTGAACCACTGTATTTGGCTCATAATTAATATTTTAAATAACCTTTGTTAGTGCACAGCAAAAAAAATTAAATCAAATTGTTCCTAAAAATTATTCTAGTTTTGAAAACTGCACATACATAAAGGAACCTCAATATAAAAAATCATGAAGTTTTTAAACATATCAACATGATGCAAAATGCAGCAATCTCACGTTTTACTCGTGTTGAAGGTGAAAACTGAGTCCCAACAGACCGGGTGGATTGCTGTGGGGTTGGGGGTTCCAGGGTGACATGTTCTGGGCTGGCTTGTTCTTGTGTATCCATCTCCTGAAGAGTAATGTTTGAGATGACAAAGGCAAACTGGATAATAATGTTACAGAGCAAACAACATAAAGGCTATTATTGCTATGGATTCAAGTACATTTCAATTAATATTTCTCTTTTCACTAGTGTACTGAGTGTAAACTTTTTTCACAAGGAATGCAAAAATAACTTAAATTCAAAACATTCAATACATGTACAATGTAACGTGTAATGTAATGTACAATGTGACATGTATTACACAATCCGTTGGCACAGTAATTTGTAATAGTACCTCTTCGGAGTCGCCCAATGCCTGCTCATGGGGATTCTCGTCTGTCCAATAACTGCAGCCTGGGGTCTCATCTGATTGCGCTGAACCAGCAGCATGTGGAACACTCTCGTCCTTGGAATCTGATAATAGTTCATCCAGCATCTAAGAGGGAAAAAAAGTACACATATTGATTTATCATTCATTTTTTTTTTAATGCTAAAAAATACATGAACCAAAAGTGAGAACGATGGAGTGTGACTAAGCACTGAACATTCAAAAATGTATTTATAAGACTACGTAAACATGATTAAAAGTTGCTCATGTGTCTTGACAAAACAAAACGTAATTTCAATTGGTCATCACAGTGAGAGTAATTGTGAAATTGATTACCGGTATTTCAGCATTGTACAGCATACTGCATAATTGTCTTAAAATACAGCAGTATCATGAAATAGCTCTTGCAATCATGTATCATGTATACAGTTTATACCAAAAATGCAATAAATATCAGAGGGGTAATTTTTTTTGAGGAAATGCATCCACAAACCAAAGACAAAAAATAATCAGATCTACGATTAAATTCCAGATTTTTTGGGGGGTAACACGTATGTGTCACAACATTCATAGTACATCATCAAATGGTTTTATCATCAGTGACCCTGAACCCTGATGCACAGTGTAGTATTACAGACAGTGTGCCATTACTAACATAACAGCTTCCTACAACCAACTGATAACTATGCAATCACGCATTGTCAGACTCAAGTACCAGTTCATCAAAGCAGATATTATGCTGCTAAGAATTATGATGTAGAAATTAGAATCAACGGACATTTAAACTTGTTCAAGGTAATGGAAATCAATTTCATAAAATAACTATATTGAAGCTATGTAATTGATCATCCAACATTAGTAATATAAAAGTTTTGGGAAATTTTGAAAATTGGCTATGGTGATTATTTACCATTTTGATATATTTGGATGCCCATGTGGATGTATTATAAGCACTGGAAAATTGAGCCCCTTAAAACACTTCTGCTTTCAAGAAAACTTAAATATCAAAATTTCCCGGTGCTCCCAGTATATTTTCATAAATTAAAATTAGCGCCTACGGCCATACAATGGTAGCTGCGACCATGATAATCTCAGAATATGTAGTTGTGATACATAATTTCCAAACGAAAATAGCCAATCGGTCAATTTTAGTCAAGAAACATTGGTTTATAGCTAAATTGATATCTTGATCTTGAAAAGGATCTATACAACATTTATTATTTACAATTTCATAACTTTAGACTCTATTCCAATCTCGACAACGATCACTGAATATGTAGGCCTATATGCTTCCAATTTGTTCATTTGAACCAAATTCATGACCCAATACCAAAACTTTGTATTAGTGATTACCTCTAAAACTGCGAAAGGCAATTCATGTTGTTGTTGAATTTTGCACATATCATTAGAGTCTACCTCCCATAGACTACTCCATTTAGAATAAGACTAAAAGATCTTACAAATACAACCCAATTCTTCATCGCTCACACGTACACTCTCAGGTAAGCATGCTCAGCTCAGCTCAGCAGACACCTCACTGTAGAGTCTAGACTATATTTTTATTTATCGTAGCAATAAATAAATAGCAATAAATAAATAAACAGAAACTCAGGCTTGTCAAATAATCGGGAAATATCATCATCTACCCGAGACAAATCGGAACAAATTGTCTCCGGGCGGGTGGCCTGCCTTCGTAGTCGTACGATGCTATGGACTGAGCTCTGCATCCTCAGCTCTGCTCGCGCCGCGACTCCAGGGAGCTCCGCCGGCGACGGAGCTCCCTGGAGTTGCACGCACGGCAGCAGCTTCAGTTCAGGCGGTGGTAATGTCAAAATCGTTCGCAAATTTAAACATAACTTAACAATAATTTAACCAAATTTAACCATAAATTATTATTGACAATAACTTACCCTAGCCTTCTCTCGCTTGGCAAAAGCCGGTCTTTCACTCTTAGCTGGCTCTGCGGCTGCAGATGTCCCAAGTTTGATATTGGGAATGGCATCTTGCTTGAGGGACGGCCTCTTCTTCATCCCAAACGCCGCATGCAGCCCGGGGACAAAGTCCTCCGCACAGAAGTGCTCGGAACACACCACACTGCGGTCACTCGGACACCAATGGGCGCGAGTTAGTTTGACTTTTGCTGTCCATTTTCTTTTAATATTTGGATCTTTTGGAAACAAGTGCAGACTCACACCTTCCCTTGTTGTGTTGCTACAACCTGCAACGACGCAGCGTTGCGGCATACTTCGATTTAGATGTAAATCCTCGAGGCAGTAAATGAGTTTGCACGTACGATGAATACAAGATTTTCTCAACAATTATCGAGGACTTCTGTTTCTGACGTCATACGTCAATCAATCTCGAAGAACGATAATTCGGGGTTTTAAAAGGGGCGGGGCTTAGCGGAGTGATTTAGGCATGAATACATGGGGAAAATATTTTTTTTTTAATATTTAGATACGTATAAAGTTCAAACAGATAACATTTTTCACTTTATATGAGTTACATGTACAAAATACCAAGAATTAGAAATTCATAATAGGGAACCTTTAAGTGACGACAAAATAAATGAAGATATTTAATATTTTGTTCCTTCTAATATTGAGCAGTATTTTTTTAAATAGATCAACAATTCTTTTTATGTCAGATGGCTCACTTACCTGTACTATGAATGTGATATTCAATGTAATGAGTATTTTGTCTTGGTTACAGCAGGGACATGTTTCAGATATGTTAGTTTTTTAGCTCATCCGGCCTGAAGGGCCTGATGAGCTTATGCCATGCTGTGGCGTCCGTCGTCCGTCCGTCCGTCCTTCCGTCCGTCCTTCCGTCCGTCCATCCGTCCACAGTTTTCAAAATGCTTCTTCTTCGTTATTTTTCAACCGATTTTGATTCTGATTGTTTCATATGATAGGGCCAAGAGGGGGATTTAAAACACAGAATAGTGAAATTCATTATCTATGCTAATTGATGCAAATTTATTCGAAATCGCAAAAAATGCTTCTTCTCCTTCATTTCTCGACCGATTTTGATTTGGTTTGCTTTATCTGATAGAGCTTACTTTGGTACACTATACTTGTACACAGAATTTTGAAATTTTGCTCCATTGATTAATTATGGTAATTTATGCAAATTTATTCCAAAAATAATTTAAAAATCACAAAAAATGCTTCTTCTCCTTCATATTTCGACCGATTTTGATTTGGTTTGCTTTATATCGTAGAGCTAACTATGGTACACTAAACTTCTACACACAATTTTGAAATTGTTCTCCATTAATTAATTATGGTAATTTATGCAAATTTATTCCAAAAATAACAAAAAATCCATTTCCTTTAGTTTCTATTTACATTTCTTTTAGTTTCTATTTAATCTTGTACAGCTAAATGAAATTATGTCCCTTCCAGGGCATCACATTTTTATTTTTTGACCAGTTCAAAAGTGTACCACTTAAAATTTACGATATTTGTTGTTGTGAGATGCGGATGAGCGCTACGTCATTGACGTTCTGGTTTCTTATTGCATTTCTTTTTGGTAACATGTTAGGAGGCTTACATGTATATCTAATTAGTAAATAAATACATGTTCATGAAGTTGTATAAAGTCAGACATCTTGTTTATGTACTAAGCACCATTCACCCTCGATACATGTATGTAGGCCTTTTAGTTTTAGTAGTAATTGTTTTTTAGTGTAGTTATTATGGGCTGTGAATTGTAGCTAAGTTTAAAATGTTGCAAAGTACATTTACACCTGTACATGTACTTGACCTGGCAGGAAATTAATTCTTTGAAATGCTAGAGCCCCGTTTTGGCAGCACAGCTTAAGCCGGGGTAATAATCTCCAAGTTTAGAAGGGCTTTAGTGATTCTAATAGGAGCTATATAAAAACTGAGTATTATTATTATTATCATTACAATTCCTTGTTATTACATGTAGTTCTGGGCACAAATTCAGTACATTTCCATATTTGATTAAAGTGGTGAAAGTTGGATTCACATACTAACCTAGTATGTTAATGCAATGAAAACTTAAACTTTTTAATATGATGAAAATGTTACCTGAGCAAGTCCCAGTTGTCAAAAGATTTTATCAAGGGTTTTTATTCACCATTTTTTATTTTAGAGACCCACCACCACTGATACCATCAGATAGTAACCATGGTTACAAGTCGATGAAGGTCAAGCTTGGAAGGTGGCAGGTCAGACCCTGGAAGTTCATGCCTTTCACCAACCCGGGAAGGAAAGATGGAGCCGTCTTTCAGCATTGGAGAAGGGTGGCTGATGAAGGAAAGGACTATCCATTTGCAAGATTTGACAAGGTGTGTGTTGTGTTATCCAGGGACCGGTAAATGTAGACGGGTCCCTGGTTTTCCAAGCTCGTAGACATTCTAAATAGGTGTTTTAGGGGGTATCTGCATCAAAGTTTTCCTCTTATTCTTAAGGCAGTGTCTGTCAGGTATTTTCAGGATGTTTTTAACTGTTTATGTATTAAAAAACAATGAAGTTTAAAGTAGTTTCCTTGTCAATAGTTCCACATGTTCATTTTATGTTCAGATTTTGTGGAAAAGAAATCATATTGAAATAAATTCAGTGTAAAATGAAATATTAAACAAACTAAAAGGAATGACACACAAGGTATGTTTCTTTATATTATATATTGAAATTTCTGTTGGGGAAGACAATTTCAAACAAATAGTTAGATGTAGATGATGATCTCTATTTTTGTTTTGCTCCACTATAATATTGCACTTTAATATCACAGGAGGTATGCATTCCATCGTTGTAAACTGAATAGGTACCCTTCTTTGCATCGAGTCACTTACAGATAATGTATGTATGACAATTTAAATTGTATTTAATGACCAGTACTCGCTCACTCACTGTGCATACAAAAACGTGAGCAAAAAATGAAAGAAAGAAAGTAAAATGGCTACCACATAATCTTATTACCTTGTGAAGCTTGAAAAAATGCTGACATTTGTGAGGCACATTTGAACTCTTGCCTGGGTCTTGAATGTTTGTTTGCTAAATCGACATATATTATGAGCAGTGAATATTCTTCCACAGTGTTATAAATATAATTGTCTAAAAATTTGTTTTCATTTTTCCTTTGAATTCCAGTCAGTTCAGATGCCAATGTATACAGACCAGGAATATCAACTTCATTTACACAGTGAGAAATGGACACGGCTAGCTACTGATCACATGTTTGACCTTTGCACCCGCTTTGACCTTCGCTGGGTCATTGTTAATGACAGATTTGATCAGATAACTTATGGGGTAAGATCTCATCCAATATATATATTCATGAAGTAAAGAACTATAAAGAATTCGTTGGCCATTCGTTTGGGATCACTTTTGAGGAACTGGAGTTTCCATACACTGCTTTTATATATTTAGGAGGTTTGGCATTAAATGAACGTGAACAAAATATAATCACAGTAAAATACTACAAAAGAGAATGAATGAAAGTATTGACAAGTTCAGAATAAATAATTTGTGTGAAAAGGATGTTCAATAATAATCGAAGGATAAACAAAAATGTGTAATAAAAGGATTTTATGGGATGGGTGGCTGATTGTAAAAGAAACTTTTACAATGAAGGGTGCAACAGAAAAGGTTTGAAATATTAAAGAAGTTCAAGTGATTGGAAAGTGGAGAATTTTCTAAGAGGAGACAAGTATGAAGTGATGTGTAGTTAATAAAATTAAATTGTAATAGAAATCCAAGAAAGCCTAAAATTCAAATGTGTATCTATACCTCAAGTAACCATTTATAATGTGGTTGATCAGACAGTACAGTAGTTGACCATTGCAGCTAAAAGGATTGGAATAGAACATTCTTGTAGCAACCTTTCCATAGGAGCCCATAATTAGATTGTTATTAGCCTTCTTTTCAAGTACATTTATTTAAAATTCATCTCATGTTATTCATACACAGTCAAACCTGCTTTAGTGACCACCTGTCTACAGAGACCACATTTTTTGTTTCTCTTGAAAATGGTTTCTCATTGAAACATGTACGAAAGGAACCTGTACATGAAGATGAATAAACTTTATTTTATTTTTATGTTAACAGAAGAGATCTATGGAGGACATGAAGGAAAGGTACTACAGTATAATAAACAAACTAGCCAAGGTTCGGAGTGACCCCACCCTCAGTAACAGGGCTCCACAGGCATTCGATGCAGAGCATGAAAGGAGAAGGAAGGAACAGCTGATCAGGCTGTATAACAGAACTAATGAACAGGTGAGATAACAGCTTGTAAGATATCATTTAGATTAGTTGGTTAGTGAGAGCAAGCATTCGATGCAGAGCATGAAAGGAGAAGGAAGGAACAGCTGATCAGGCTGTATAACAGAACTAATGAACAGGTGAGATAACAGCTTGTAAGATATCATTTAGATTAGTTGGTTAGTGAGAGCAGGGCATTCGATGCAGAGCATGAAAGTAGAAGGAAAGAACAGTTGATCAGGCTGTATAACAGAACTAATGAACAGGTGAGATAACAGCTTGTAAGATATCATTTAGATTAGTTGGTTAGTGAGAGCAGGGCATTCGATGCAGAGCATGAAAGGAGAAGGAAAGAACAGTTGATCAGGCTGTATAACAGAACTAATGAACAGGTGAAATAACAGCTCAGGTCTTTCGTCTTCTTTGTGCATGGCTGATCTTCAACGAAATGGAGTTAAGTCTTTTGACAACTCTGTACGTTGCTACGGCAGGCAGCCATTAAAAACGAACTCGTTTGATCAAATTATAGAAATGCAAGCCTTACTTTAAACAAACAGAACTTTGTTATTCCGGGCTCATTTTTCCTGATTGAGGTGTCATATGAAAGGGCAGAAATTGAACTTTCTAGAAATGTGATTTTCTTTTTAAAATTCAGATACTGCCCGCCAAATGACTTTTTGGTTTCCTCTCTTCAAATTGCTTTTAATCACTCATGCGTGAGATATGAATCGTATGAGTTGCATCAAATGAAAGAGGAGGATCTTAGCTTTCCAAATATGTGTCATTTATTAATTATAATTGTAATTAAGTTATGATAAAACATCGATAATTCTCGGTTTCGTTTTTTCTGGGACGCACTGTATATATATATATATATATATATATATATATATATATATATATACTAAACCATTGGAAAGAAAAAGAAAAAGAAGACCTTATTTATATCTACTAAAAGTATAGGATGGAAAAAGGTGCATCCGTAAAAGCTATAGGGGCTTGATGAATTGGCGCAACCTGAGCGCGTCACAATATAATTTACA